GTACGTGCCGCAGCCGGCCTACGGAGCGCAGCAGCCGCCCACGGCGGCGGGGCAGGCCGCCGCATACGCCGCCGGTCCCGGACCGGTGCCCTACGGATCTGGGGCCGGCGCGGCGCCCTACGGCACGGGTCCGGCAGCAGCGCCGTATGCATTGGGGGCCGGAGCAGCGCCGTATGCGGCGGGGGCTGGAGCAGCGTCGTACGGCTCCGGGCCGGGCGCAGCGCCCTATGCTGCTGGGCTCGGAGCGACAGCGCCGTACGCCGCGGCGCCCGGTGCAGCAGCGCCGTACGCCTCGGCACCCGGGCCCACGTACTCGACGGGCGCGGTGGCGCGCCTGCCGCCCTCCCTCCAGGCCCAGCTCGCGGCGCTGGTGGCCAAGTCTGGCGGCTTCCTGCGTGTGGACCACTTCAACGACGGGCTTGTGGACATGCTGCTGGCAAGTGGCTGTGCAGTGCGGCTGGGGGGGAGGCAGCCGTGGGTGTTGGTACTGCGTCTCCAGCCTGGAGCTGGGGCGGTCGCTTCAGAGCAGGCCGGCAGGCGCTGCTCCGGCGCTGCGACGGTCAGGACGCCTTGCTAGGGGACGCTCGGCGGTCTCACTCAGCCGCCGCCCACCCCTTTTGCCCCCCTCCATACAGGACATGGGCGAGGCGTCTGCAGCGGGGGTGCTGTCCCGCCTGGGCATGAGGGACCTGAGCATGGTGCGGAACATGCCGGGCTACATTTACGGCGCCCTGCGCCAGCCTCCGACAGACGCCCCCCCCACCGGGGCCCCGAGCAGGGGGTTGGAGGCGGGGGGCAGGGGCGGCGGGGTGCGGTACCGACCCTACTGATGCCGCAGGGATTGGCACTCGGCCGGCTGCCTGCGGCAGGGGGATGCCCCTGCGATGATGTCCCATCTGTGACCTCCGGCCACGCCCTTCCACACCATCATTGCTTCCTGACAGTACTTCTGAGCAGCGTGGGCAATGCAACGAGGGGTACACAATGGGCAGAGGGGAGCAGGGCAAGTGGTCAGCGCACAGGACTGGTGTGGGGAGCACATAACATGCCTAGTTGGGGGTGGAAACCTCGACCACGTTCATGGCACACATGGAGCCTGGAGGCCTCCACGCAGCGCCATGCCCGACCTGAGGCTCTATCGATCGATGTAGCCCGTGCCAGAGCAGCGGGCGCAGAAGAGCATGCCGGCGCCGTCGCAAGCTCGGCATGCGTTGGGATGGGACGGCTGCTTCTGAAAGGCAGAGCCCGCCCACTTCCGGTCCGCGCCCTGCCGAGGGGCTCCTCCGGCCTCCATCCTCCCCGAGCCGTTGCACGCGAAACAGCGCACGCCACCCGTTGCCCCGCAGGATGGGCATGGGCGTGCATCTGCCTGCGATGGGTGAGAGATCATGTGGGATTCGTGGGGACTCCAAACACCTGCATGGATACATGCAGAGCACTCCCACCACGCCGGACCTCACCTTGAAGCCGTTGACGAATGCAACTGAGATTGCCACAAACACAGCTCCTCCAACTAAAACGTCCTGGACTCCAGATTGGACAGGGATGGCATGCACCTGTACCGCGCGGGGTCTCCGTGCATGAAGGGCTGAGAAGCACCCGGGACACAGACGTTGGCCAAGAGGCGAGACGGAGGTCATGGCATGGCTAATGGTGTTAATTGAAAGGTCCGAGTGCGAGAGACGTAGGGGCTCGTGTCGCATGAAGCTTGAGACATTGCACCCTGCACCCGTGTTGTCAGTCATGAAGCTCGCGCCCTGACCGCCCGGACGAGATCGTCGCAACTCGTTATCCCACCTTCAGCCAGCCTGCACTTTGGTACCCAAATCCGTGTTCTTATGAAATCTCTGCAATGACCGTTCTCACAGTTGGATGCGGCATCGACCTCGCGGCGAATGCCCGGGGTCGGGCTGTAGCCAGGCCTTTCGCGACTGCCCAGGCTTGTAGACATACCTCGCGCGCGGGCCTCGCGGGTCAAAGAGGCATGCCAGATCCAAGGTCCCGCAAGCGCTTGTCAGCAAGGGCCGTGAGCATGGAGGTGAGACGTACGCTGGCGCGCAAGCTCACGTCACGTGCGACGGAAGGGGTGATACAGTAAGGGCCATGGCAAGACCAAACCATCGCATCATCACCATCCTGGATGCTTCCAGGCCTCGCAGGCAGTCCACGCACCTCCCCATGTCGAGGCGGGGCCGATGGAGACGGTGGAGGTGAACCTGGGCACGCGCACCTACCCCATCTACATCGGGGCCGGGCTCCTGCAGAAGGGCGCCCTGCTGCGCCAGCACATCGCAGGCTCCTCCGCCCTGGTGGTCACCAACGACACGGTGGCCAAGGAGTACCTGGAGCCCACGTTGGCCGCGCTGCATGGCGGGGACAGCGGGATCCGGGTGGAGCACGTTGTGCTGCCCGATGGCGAGCAGTACAAGAGCATCGAGGTGCTGCAGAGGGTGTGGGACAAGGCACTCCAGTCCAGGTGGGTCGGACAGGGGCATGGAGTCAATGGCTGCTTGGGGTCGTAGTCCCATTGTGCCCGAGAGTGCGAGCCGGGCGTGCCTGTGCTGCCCGCGCCTCGAATGCCCAGGCGCTGCACTGCAGTGGGCAGCATCGCCTGCGAGGATTCGTCACGCTGTGCGCGCTGTGTTTGCCGTCTTCTCAAGTCGTCCACCCCTCACCTCGGCGTCAGGCTGGACCGCAACACCACCTTTGTCGCCCTTGGAGGCGGCGTGATCGGCGACATGACGGGCTTCGCGGCGGCCGCCTACCAGCGAGGCGTCGCCTTTGTCCAGGTGCGCTGGCGGTACTGCGTCTGTTCGATCCCATGCACTGGCGTGTGCCTTGTGAGGCACTTCACTCACCCCCTTACTCTCCTCGGCCTGCAGATTCCCACGACGGTGATGGCCCAGGTCGACTCGTCAGTGGGTGGAAAGACCGGCGTGAACCACCCCCTGGGAAAGAACATGATCGGCGCCTTCCACCAGCCACAGTGCGTCCTCATCGACACAAAAGCGCTGGACACCCTGCCCGCCCGGGAGCTGGCCTCTGGCATCTCAGGTTCAGGGATGATTGTGAACGACGGGTGATAGGCGGGGCGGGTATCTGAGGGGTTGAGATGCCTGCCTTGGAATCCAGGTCATGGCTGCAAGCCTTGGTGACATGGCAGCCGGAGGGCTGGATGCGCGCCGGACTTGTTGCGTCAAGGTCTAAGTCTTCCTCGTATTGTCTGAGGCTGCCGTGTGGTGCCAGTGCACGGCAGGCAGAGGAGGTATGCCCTTGGTACGCAATGTTTAGTCATCACGATTGCCATCACGCTCCTGCTGGCCCTGTTCCCTATCTGCAGAGATCATCAAGTATGGCCTGATCAGGGATGCAGAGCTGTTTGAGTGGCTGGAGGCCAACATGCCTCGCCTCCTGGCCAGGGACCCCCAGGTGCCTTCGAAGGGTGGGGGGGGTCGACTTTTGGGGCGGGTTGGAGGACACGGGGCGAAGGCCACACCCTCCGACGGGCACCTCTTGCCGCAACACGCTTCTGCCTCGGGCAGGCACAAGGATGCGCACAGGCTGCACCTGCTGACCATGCATCACTTGCCGCCCCACAATCCCAACCCCCTCTACAGGCGTGGACACATGCCATCCGGCGCTCCTGCGAGAACAAAGCCGAGGTGGTGGCCGCCGACGAGCGGGAGGGCGGCGTGCGTGCCACGCTCAACCTGGGCCACACGTTTGGGCACGCCATCGAGGCGGCCGCCGGCTACGGCGCGTGGCTGCACGGGGAGGCGGTGGCAGCCGGCACGGTGATGGCTGCAGACCTGAGCCGGCGGCTGGGCTGGATAGACGCCGCGCTGGAGGGCAGGACAACGGCGCTCATTGCCGCGGCGGGGCTGCCCACCAGGCCACCAAAGGTGGGCGGCCTGGGGCTGTGTTGAGAGTGGGGGAAGCCGATGGACCTACTCATGGGCGGCAGGTGAAGTATCGATTGCCCTTGTGCAGGACTGTGATGACTTGGCAAAGACCATGGATGCTGCTGGTTGTGCATCCCCGGCCCTCACCCTGCACAACACCATCCCCACCGCCGCAGGGCATGACGCCCGAGGTGTTCATGGGCTTCATGGGCGTGGACAAGAAGGTGGTGGACGGCACGCTGCGCCTCATCCTGCTCAAGGGCCCCCTCGGCGGCTGCGTAATCACCTCGGAGTTTGACGCGGCGGAGCTGCGGGCCACACTGGAGGAGTTTTGCGACGGCGCGTGATCCAAGTGGTTGTGTGCATGCCTTGCTGTTCTTCACTGTGCCTCGCTGTGCATGTCTACGCATGGGGGATACCGGCCTCGGCTGTGATATCGCGTTCCAGGGTCTGCGGTCGTCACTCTGCAAAGCTTTCATTGCGTATGGAAAGCTTGTCAACTGATGTCGCGGCTGTCGGGTGTCAGACAAAGTCTCCAGCTCTGCTTGTGGCTCGAGCATGAGGAGAGAGCCCCACTAGGGCGCGGATGTGGTCCAGCAGGGCCCCTGCCCCCCCCTCTCCAAACCACACCGCCAGCTCCGACGTCGCATCAGGGAGCCTGCGAGCGTCTTCCAGCTCATGGAGCAGGGCCTCGGCTGCCCGGCCGCCGAGGCCCGTGCCCTCCAGGTAGGCGTGGCGCCTGAGCGCGGGTGATGTCGGACCGGCCCCCGTCGCGCCACGCACCGCCTCCAGCGCCGCCGCCGCCTCGGCCGTGGCAGCGGCGCCCTCTGAGGATTCCCGGGGGAAGCGGGCCCTGAGGGTGCTCAGCGTGCACAGCACGGCCGCCGTGCCGTCGCCGCGCTCGCCGCGGGCCAGGTGGAAGCGCGCCAGGTACTTGAGCAGGGGCACGCTGGCGAGGCTGCGGCGGGGGAGGCATCGCCAGTGCACCTGGATGGGGGCGCGGGGACGGTGGGGATGTCAGAGAGTATTCAACAGGGATCTCTCCTGGACGTTAATGGCCCTCTTACGTGACTTGCAGGGTAATGAGAGCCCTGGCGGCTGGCTCAGCGCAGATGCCAGTCATTGGCCATGGGTGTTGAGGCGTGCAAGCGGAGCACTCACCTCCCACAACACCTCCCGCAGCCACCTGTTTCCCGCCCACCTGCAATCCCTCGCGCAGCGACTGGACCGCCTCATCCACCTCGGGGTGAGTCCAGGCCCCTCTCTCCGCCAGCCCCGCCATGTGGAGCTCCAGTGCCTCCACCTGGCGGGCCACGCCCGCCAGCGCCCCGACTGCCCGCTCGAGGCTGGTCCGGTGAGCTGGATCGGTGCCATCCTTCCTGCATCGGCTGCAAACTCCGCTCCCGGCAGGAACCTCCCACGCGGAGGTCAGGCGTGCGGGCAGGCGGGTGGGAACCAGCACGGACCCTGTGCAGCCGGGGGTGAAGGGGCAGCGCAGCCCCGTGAGCTCGGCGTCCTCCTCTTCGCTGCCATTCACGCAGTCCCGGCAGGCGCAGCGGAAGCCGTAGGTGCCCTCCAGGATGGCCCGGCGCTGCGGCCGGCTCATGGCTGCCGCGCTGGCGCCATAGCAGTGCCAGAGCGGCGTGCCAGCTGAGGTTGCAGCCACTGCATTCATGCAGAGAGTCAGTCCCTGGGATGGAAGGCAGGGGGGTCCAGGGGGAGAGACCCTTGTAAGCAAACAGCATGGTGCTGCTGCACCGAATTCCCAAGCGAGTAATGCATGCACCCAGCACCGGTACCGGAGATGAGTGAGATCCGGCGCTCCCTCGCCAAAGACTGGAGCGTGCACGGACCTCATCTGGGCTTTTGAAACGTAGCACAGTACAACCTGGCTCCCAGGATTTTGGCCACCCATCCCTGATCTTCCTGGGTAACACACCCACCCTCTCCCACCACAGGCCTCACATCAAAGTATACGGAGATGCTCGGCCGGCAGGCATGGTTTGCCAGACTGGCGGTGGGGTAGACCGCCTGGGCATAGGCCGTGTCCCGCCCCGAGTTCCAGGGTGGGTGCAGCCCAAAGGCATTCAGCCGCACCTGGCCCGAGGCGCGGAACACTGCTGTCGCCAGGCCGAGGAGTGGAGCCTCGTCCTCGGCCCTCAGGCTCCTGCCCTCGGCCCCGGCCCAGCACAGCGCGGCCAGGCAGGCCGCCGCAGCCGCCACCAGCCTCTCCTCGGCGCTGAACAGGTGCGTGCCGCAGGCCAGGCCGGCCAGCGCGCTGGCCTGCGGCGCGGGCACGCCCCCGCTGCGTCAGCACCAGCCTGAGCGCCAGGAGGGAGTTGGCGGGCAGCAGGCGGGACCACGCGCGGCCGCACTCCCGCCCGCCCGCCTGGTGGAAAGGGTGGCCAGTGCGGCGAGGCGGGGCGTGCAGAACAGGGCCAGGGGGCACGCGAGGCGAGGGGTGGACGGCGCGCCTGGGGGGGTGCCCGAGCAGCGTGCCGCAGCGTGCGCAGCGCTGCAGACGGACGGAAAGAAGAGGAGGGAGGAGCGGTCATGCATGCCCCCTGGTGGGTGAGGACTGGGGTTGGGGAGGGTGACGTCCTGCCTCTTTGTGGAGACGAAGGAGTGGCGACTCCAGGCTTTCAGCCCCTCCAAACAACCTGCTGATGACGGCGATGCCAGTTCTATTACCCTCTTTCCCCCACTGTGCCTTACCTCCTGGCTGGCAGCACGACCCAGCACCCAGGCTGCTGGTGCCTCACGCAGTACGCACTCCCCACGGGACACTTGCCTCGTGGCGACCAGCTCTCGGCCGAGGCGAGGATCCTGCGCCTGCCTGCCCCCGACAGCAGGCTGGGACGGGGCGGGACTGGCCGCTGCTTGCCTCAGGCTCCCATCAGTGTCAGGCCCCGAAGCACGCTCAGCGCAGGCCGGAGCACCACCTCTGGCCATGTTTTCTACCCCTCCGACAGCCGTCCTGCATCTGGCCACGGCCGCCTCGACATCCGGCCCGGGCGCAGATGCCTGTGCTGCCAGCGCATCCACCAGTGCCCCCGGCCAGTCCTCAAGGGCCATGCGGGCGCTGGACCGGCGGAAGGCCGCCTTGGCATTGGCTGGGTCCAGGGTGAGGGCCTGGCCGGCATCCTCCTCGGCCGCCGTGGCCTGCCCCCGCCTCAGCCAGCAAAGGGCCCTGTTGGAGTAGGCCTGGGCGGCCTGGACGGGCCAGGCCCGAGCGTCCAGCCAGTGCAGGCACTCGTCATACTCTTTCGTTGCGTCCTCGTACAGCCCAGCCTTGAAGAAGGAGTTGCCGGCGTCCTTGTGGCGCAGGGCGCGCTCGTGATCCGGACAGGCCCCTGGGACACTCCGGTCTAGCAACTGGTTCAGGATGGTCTCCAGATGCCGATGCCTGCAGAGCGCATCCCAGACGGCGGTAATGTACGTTTCTTCATCGCCCTCCTGCCCCGCAGCGGGCCGGGTCCCTAGAGATACGTCGGCACGTAGGCTGTCCAGCAGGCCACCAATACCGGCCATGGTGGCGGATGGGGGCGGCCGCCGTTACCCCGCTCATGGGACGGCTTGCATCGATAGTATAGCATTTGGATCCATTGAGATCTGTGCTCAAACCCGGCGGTTCCCAGGGAACTGTCGTTGCTGGTCTGGGTGGTGATACTACCCTACAACTCGCCCTTGTCTTTACATCGACCCACTCTTGTACTCGACGGAAGACACGCTCTTGGGAGCTAGACTGCTCAATAAAATTACCCGTACCCAAAGCAGTCTCGTCGGCTTTACATTCAATCCAATTGGGATATATCACGACGTCTGAGCTGTTGTGCAAGGCATTGCAAATTCACGGGACACTACAGGTGATTGGGGCAGGCAATGGCGAGCCGGGCGAGGAGCCCACGGAGTACAGGGAGAGTGAGCAGAGAAAACGTGTCAGGTCAATGTCGTCCAAGATGGACGGGCATGGTGGGTCGGGTGCGCTCACTCACAGAAGGGGGATCAGGGGCGGAGTGCTTTCAGGGCCGCCACCACCTGTGGCCTCAGGAGGTCAAACTTGAGGACAAGGGACATGCCCCAATGGAACCAGCCGAAGCATTCCCCGCCATTGGCATATGGCTGCTCGGGACAGGTCAGGTTCTCGAGCAACGCCACCTTCTCCGAGTCGTTGAATCGGTGGTACTGGGAGTTCGGGGCTCGGATCACCTGCAAGGGTTGTGAGGGGAGGATGGGGGAGGGGGGGGGGAGGTGATGGGCTTGCGCACCACAGTCGGTGCAGCAGGATCACAGGAAGGCATCTCAGCATGCTCGGCCCGGCGCGGGCAGGCAGGCCCCTGCGTGGGGATGTGTGTGCAGGACTTGCTCCGTCGCCAATTCCAAACCAAAGCGCCTGCCACAGCGCACATCGTAGTTGAAGAAGACCTTGGTGCGGTCGTCGTTGGTCACCACCCCCAGCTGGATGTCGATGTCGAAGGCCTTCCGGATGCCCTGCACCCAAACATGCTGGTCGTGGGGATCCTTGACAGCCCACTGCACCAGCTCCACGGCATGCGCCCCCTGCATGAGGGTGGAGGGTGTGAAGTGTGAAACCGGGGGCACTCATGCAATGACGGGGCAGGGGTGCGAGCGCCTGCGCCATCAGTTGACCGAACCGGACAGAGGTGGTCGAAGGGGAAACGTGGGCGCACCAAACCAGCGCACAATTCTTGGTTTGCCGACTTGGCCCTCGCAATGCTTGGCGGGGGAGGAGCTCCCACAACCCCCATGCTCCCTCCACATGCCCCGTGCCACCCACCCGCGGCAGGAAGAAGACGTGGGCCATGGCGGCGCCATGCGCCCAGATGTAGACCGAGCTGTTCCAGACCACGGCCGCCTGCTCCCGCAGCGTGCCCTTGAGGTACACCACCTCCACCACCACCCGCTCCGGTCCCGCCTCTCGCACGGAGGGCAGGGACAGGATGTGGTCCTTAATGGTCTCCGCGTTCAGCAGCGACCGCCCCGCCTCGTAGTGCCGGTTCACTATGGTGATGCGGACCGGGTCGGTCGGCGCCTGGGGTGGTTGGGGAGGGAGGAGGTAGTTTGGAAGAGGGAAGAATTGTGTGGGGGAGGGGGCAAGGACGCGGGGAGCAGAAAACAGGAGTAGTACCCGCGGATCGCTGCATGCACGATTCGAGCAGCGAATGCAAAACTCGCTGGCGCCCTGGTCCAGAGGCAAGCCGCCATCGGTCAAGGCCCTGCAGCCAAGCAGCCCGCACCCGCTCGTTGACAAAGTCATGGTTGAGGCAGGCGGCCACTTGCTCCCGGTAATGCTTCATGTACTTGAGGGCGGGCGGGTCCTTGAACCTGGCCTGCCACTCCTCTTTCTTCTGGTGGTAGAAGCGGACGTTGCGGGGCAGGCCCACCACCGCCTTCTCCATCAGGATCGGCTGGTGGTAGGGAGGGGGGGGGGAAGGGTACCCTTGAGCACCATTCATCGGTCCAGGCTTTATCATATGCACATCCTCCAGCACATGTGCCTGGCAGGGATCCCGTTCTTGAGCCGATACCACACGGGGTCCCCATCACAAAGCAGGGCAGGCCTGCCAGGACGCTGCAACACCCACACAGCTCGCACCGCCGACTCACCCGCGACCCGGTGTCTTGCAGGTTGAGGACGGGCTGCGGGCTGATGCACTGCAGCAGGTCCACGATGGCTTGCGGCGCATTGAAGACATAGCCCTTGGGGTGGTTGACCCCGGACTTGTTCACCCAGAACAGCCGCAGGTCCTGCGACGCCTGCCGCACCGGGGTTTGCAGATGGTGGGCGACAGCAATGGTTGGGCAACGTGGTGCCGGCAGAGCAGCAGCAGCCACGCCACAACCTCATGAGACTCACTTCATGCGTGCATATGCCCAGGGCCCGGCAGATGGAGTAGTGCATGGTAGGCACGATCTCGGTGAAAAGGTGGTAGTAGTTCAGGGGGTGCTGCTGGTGAAAGAGACCGGCCCTGCGAACCACCTCCACTTCCTGGCGTGGGCGAATATGTACAGGGATTGGGGAGACCTGCACCACACCTTTTAACCAATGTTTGCCGGGATGTTGAGAGCACCACAGGACCCTTTAGGCTGGTCTGGCATCTTGTGCCCCGTTTGATACTGCCCATCCCCCTCCGAGTCTCTCCTCCCCCTCACCCTCCAGAGAGTGAGGGGCAGATTCCCTGGCTGGGTCATGCTGATGGCGAGGTGCTGGTCGCCCTCATACACCTTTTCCCAGCTGATGAAGATGGGAGGCAGCTCCTCCTGCTTGCTACTCACATAGTGAAGTGTCTGGTTCACGATGAGGAGGTTGGAGAACACACACATGCGCTGGTCGGGGAAATCCGGGTGCTCCTCCGAGCACTGTGTGGGAGGGAGGTGAACAGATCCAGGGTGAAGGGTGGCCAGATCACCTCCAGATCAAGTTCAATGCGCAACAATGGTCCCAGATCTGGTGTCTGGACCCTGCAGGGGAGGGTCGACAGCCCACCGTGTATGTCGACTCCACCGGCGAGATAGGCCCAACGCGGTGCTGCACACCACGCGGTGCATCCTCGGTCTGCGCCGTATTCGAATGGGTGATCAGGTCAAGTGTTGGAATTTGATGAAATTTGGACTCCCGCACCCCTTCCCGACGTCCACTCACATAGATTCGTAGGGGTGAGGAGCGAAGGATGACGAGCGAGATGAGGACAAAGACAGCAAAGACCGGCTTCAGCAGTGCCATGCCTTTGCGTTTATCAGGCGCCCAAAGGCGCATATCACCATACTGATGCGCTACATACTCGAGTCGACATTATGGTGCGGTGTAAAATTTGTGGGTGCGTGATGTTCCGGGTGGACACTCAACCGCCAGGAGTCGAGGGTCGCGCGCGGGCGGGCACTCCCCAGATCGCGCGATCGCAGTTCGACCGCTAAGCCACCGAGGAGACAAGCTCACATGGTCCAACGGTCCTTGGAGTCGTGGCAATGTATTTACGGGAACCTGGGTAGGCTCCGATATGTCGCCCGGCGCGTCTTCAGCTTCGGAGGACAGTGAGGACGAGGAAGAGCTCAATGAGCTGCAGGCACTGCAAGATGAGCTGGCAGCCCTACGCAGTGTACTTGGAGAAGCGTACAGAGAGGTGGGCTGTGATGGCAACCGCATATGGAGTCCAGCAGCGGCGCCGAAGCCGTTGTTGCCCTCAGTGGCGGGTCAGAAACTAGATCAATAGCCCGGCATTCCACAGGAGGGCGGGCGCATCGCCGTGGAAGCCAGCGGTGGGGATGCATCTCCGGACGAGAGCCCCAGTGCTGGTGGTGCTGAGGAGATCGAGCCAGAGAGCCGGCAGGTTCCTGCGGAGACAGGTGGGCAGCCTCTTCATCATCTTGTGGGAATCGTGAATGACTTGCCACCTCGCCACACCCTGCGCCTCGGGCCTCAACTTGCACGTCATGCTTCCACAGAAGATAGGAGGGAACACGAGTCGCCTTCTATCGGAGCAGAAATTGGTGCCTGGCCAGGTGATGCGCGCCATCCTCGTGCAGGTGCCCTCCGAGCGGCGCTCGCGGCCAACCGAGCCATTCAGGCTCGCCTGAGGCGGCTCTTGGAGTCCATCGAGAGCGCGGCGTCCAGGAACGCAGATGCAGAGGCGTGCGTGGCCGCGCTCCGGGCTCGCAAGCGGCAGGCGGGGGCGCTGCGGAGCGCCTCCAGCGGCCTGAAGGTGCTTGGGCCTGAGGCTGAGAGAGTATCATGTGCTTCACACCAGTAACTGGCTGCGGGGTTCACCCTGGAATTGCAAGGTTCCGACAAGGCTGTGCGGTGGACGCGTATGATTGACGAAGCCCACCCCAACCCCTGCCGCTCGATGCTTCCCGTCCACAACCTGCCCCTGCATCCCCCAGGAGCCGGCCTTCCCGGTCCCATCCCGGGCCTGGGCGGTGGGCGACGAGCCGCCGCCGCTGCACCCAGAGGCTGCCGTGCTGGCACCGGTGTACCGGTATCTGCCTCACACCTTCCCGTCCACGGCGCTCTCCAGGGAGGATGCCGCACGGCTCCGGGGTGCCGTGATCCAGCTGGTGCAGGTGCGTGGCAACTCGGACTGGGGCCAGGGACGGTGTCGGCCGCATGCTACCCGTCGAGGCACTGCTGTGTGGCAGGACTCGTGTGGTCGACGCTGCGTGCCCTGGGCGAGTGGCCACTCGCGCTCCCGGTCCCTCGACCCGCGTGAGAATGCCCCGGATTCGCCGAACCCGGCACCCGGCGCAGGAGAAGCGCACCAATGCCGTGCTGGAGGCCGTGGAGGCGGAGCTGGCGGCCGGCCAGCCCCTCACCCCCGCGGACATCCAGGCTCGGTGCGCGGGCGTGGAGGCTTTGACCCTGGACGACCCTGGCGTGGAGGCGGCCACCCTGGCCTTTGACCGCGGCGACTGGCAGGTGGTCCAGCAGCGGGCGGGGGTCGCGTCGGGCGCGTCGGGGTGCCGCCTGGGCTGGGTCAACGGCCTGCGCCCCGGCCTGCGCCACGATGCCTATGAGCCGGAGGAGGACGCGGCTCTGGCAGATGCCGTGGCCCGCCTCGGGGTCCACCAGGTGCGGGCGACTGGCTGTGGCTTGAGGAGGGGGAGGCGTTGCTTGTGAGGATGATTTCCTTGCAAGATGCTGGTGTCGGGTTCTCCTCAAGGAGCCCTGATTGCCACATGAGGAGTCATCCTCTGCTCGGCTGTACACAAGCAACCAGCCTGAGTGCCTTGCCCACACCCATGCAGTGGCCGGCAGTGGCGGCTGAGCTGGGAGGGAAGCGCACCGCGATCGCAAGCCTGCGTCGGTGGCTGGAGCTGGAGAGGCGGGCCTCTTCGGCGCCGAGGAGTCAGGAGGGGGCGGCCGGACCCGTGCCTTCCGGCATGGAGGCCGGGACGGCCGGGCCCTCTGCCGGCCCAGCGCGGCAGGGGGGTGAGCTGAGTCCGGACCAGCTCTCACTGCTGGCGCGGCTGATGCAGCGCCACGGTCCTCGGTGGAAGGTGATCGAGTGCGATCTGATTGGCCTTACCACACACATGCGTCGGGATTCACGTCTGCAGACCAGGCCCACCCCCTCAGCTCGTCATGGAACCCACGCCTGGTGATGCTGGCCCTACGATCTGTCACTCGTGCCTCCCCCCGCCATCTGCCCTGCAGATGCTGGCGGAGAAGATGGGGCCTGGCTGGGACAGGCAGAGCCTTATGCACGCCTGGCGACGGCACACCCAGCGGGGCTCTTTGGGTGGCGGCACAGCCACGCCACGGAGGGGGAAGTGGACCGCCTCGGAGGACGACGCTCTGCAGCGGGTGGGTGGCTGGGGTCCGCGTCATTGGTGGTGTTATATAGGGATGGCGGCTTCCTGAACAGAACGGCAGGGTGGGAGAATGGTCTGGGATGTGAGACACCCCGCTGGATTCATCAGGGTTTTGTCTGTCCCTGCACTCTTTAAACCACTTTTCACCTACTCCCACTCGAGCAGGCCATCGCCCTGCATGGCAAGACGTGGGTGGCTGTGGCAAGGCTGGTGCCGGGCAGGTCGGATGTGCAGTGCCGCGAACGATGGATGAACGTGCTCAATCCGGACGTGACCAGCACCGCTCCATTCACTGCCGAGGTGCATGGAGCCGGCGGACGGGAATCGGGGGTCAGGGGTGCGTGGTGTATGCTTTGCGCTGCACACCCGGAATTTTGGGATATCGTAGCACAGTCTTGACTGGACAGAGCGCCGTGGTGGGGGAGCACCATATGACCCTCCTTGATCCCTATTCACGCGCATATACATGCAGGAGGACGCTACGATCCTCAAACAGGCTCACCTGGTCAGACGGGTGAGTGAGTGTCTGCGCAGGGCAGGAATATGTGGTACCAAGGTTTGCTGTCTTCACTGCCTGCCCTTGAGTACAAAACCCCTCGGCATCATTCCAAAGTTACCATGTCAGCCACATCAGGTCTTGCTCAGCCCTACATCATCCCTCGCAAAGCTCCATCCCTGTCTCACCCCACCTCTCCAATGACACCTTTCCCCCCTTTCCAGCCCAATGGACGTGTCAAGTGGGCTGCCATCGCAGCGCTTCTCCCCGGGCGAACGGACAAGGCAGTGGCCATGCGCCATGCCCGTCTCCTCAAGCGGTGCGTTATGTGCAGGTGCCAGAGGATGATGGATGGCCTGGCGGTATACATGGGTGGGCAGCTGCCCGTGCACGCCTGCCACACTTGTACAGTCGGGAGAGGGAGACTGCGCATCACTCTTTACAGCCTGCCGGAGAGCTTCAAGACTGCGAGCATGGCGCCAATCTTCCCCTTTGGACGCTCACCCACAGGGAGGCAACAGTGGAGGCTGGATCGGGCATCTGCCCGGGAAGCGAGCATACTGATGCGCCTCCCAGCTCAACACAGTCTGGCGACGAGGATGATGCCTCGCGGGCAGCCGCCGAGCCAGAAGCAGACTGGCGTCCTGGCGGCCCAACAGGCAACGCACCGCCTGCCTGCACGACAAAAATGGCGCCCTGCTCAGCGGCAGCGGCCGTCGGGCGGCAGGTGTGGGTGTGGTGGGTGGAGGAGGCCGGCAGCAGCAAGGGGAGCATGTACAGGGGGCGCATCGACGCCTACGACGCTGCAAGCGGTGGGTGCCAGTGTTTGAGAGGGATGAGTTCGGGATTTCGACTGTTTGTACATCGAGAGGGAAAGGGGAACCGTACATCAGGGAATTGCAGGGACAAGAGCGTATCATGTCTCCACTGTGAGGCCTGCTCTGCTCAAGCGCTGTTATGTCATATGGCACTACAGGGCAGCACAGCGTGGTGTATGAGCAGGATGGCAGCTGTGTCAAGGAAACGCTCCTCACAGAGGTCGTGGCATGGGAGGACGGGAGTGTCACCGGGCCGGGAGCTGTGTGGAAGGCGGTGTCCCTCTGATGCGCATCTGGGGTCATGGATGACGGCCGATGAATCCTCCTTGATTGTTATGAAATCCCTGCACTCCCATTGTCTGATGACCCAAAGCATGCAAATACCCCACTTCCATTTGCTTTGAGTGTCAAACTGGTATTGCAACAGCTGAATCAAGGTTCAGGCCGAAAAACGTCAGAGCGCAAAAGGGGCCTGAGGAGCGCTGGAAAGGCGTCGAAACACTGTCACCAACATTTGCACGGCAAACAAGTGCGTGGCCTCGATACAAAAGGTCAGTATACAGAGCAGTAGCATTGGGTCAAGCGAGTGCGGGCGTCGGTCCCGCAGCCAGCGCGGCTTGTTTCCGCCCCAGGCCCGCCGCTGCCGCAGCGGCGATGGCCATGGGGTACTGATACTGTAGCAGGTACTGCGTGGCTGCCCTCCAATCCCACAGGCCCACCTCCTCCCTGGCGGCGGCGGCCACCTGGGCCCTGCATGCGTGAATGGAAGGGGTGTTGGTATTACAGCGGTGACGGGTACTGGGCGCCTGTCTCGTCAGTGTCTTCTGAAAACAGACCTCATCTCCTCACCATCACAGTTTGCCCCACCCTGTCCAGCCCTTTGCGGGCACCGCACATTCCCTACACGTGGCCCACAAGGCCCGCACCTGAGCTGGTCGTTAGCCACTAGCTTCTGCACAGCCGCCACAGCCGCTGCCACGTCCCCAGATCGGTACAAGAACCCTGTCACCCCAGGCTTGCAGAGGATGTCCGGGATGCCCCCAGCCTCCACTGCCACGACGGGCGTCCCCGAAGCCATCGATTCTAGCACCACAAACCCTGTCGATCATGAGTGCAAAGGAGAGACAGGGGTTGGCCTTGGCTGCGGAACCTGACACACTCGCATGGGCATTGGCCTTGGGTCATGGCCCCTTGCCCGAGCCTGTCAGGAGCCGCATCAGCACGCACCCCTTTCCATCCAGTTCCTCCACCTGGACACCACCTCTCACTCACCCAGCGTCTCGCTCTCGGAGGGCATGACAAAGACGTCTGCCGAGGCGTAGGCGGCGGCCAGCTCTGCGCCGTGCAGCATGCCCACAAAGGTCGTGGCGGTGCCGGCAAAGTGCGCCTCCAGCGCTGCACGCTCCGGCCCGTCGCCCACGAGCGCCAGGCGTGCACCGGGCACGCCCTTGAGCACGTCCTGTGAGGTGTGGAGTGCGGGGGTGAGGCAGAGGTGAGTCGAGGCGTGAGGGGGCAGAAGGGGCTGTCAGCCGGTAGAGCTTCAACATTCAGGATTCCTCGACTCACGTCGCAAAGGATGCAAGTCGACGAGCCCTTGCACAGGCCCGCCGGCATCACCAGCGCTCGTCCCCCTCTCCCCCACCCCCTCCCTTGCCCCTCAACATGGGAGCCCACCTTGAGGAAGGTGAGGTTCTTCTCCACGCCCAGCCGGCCCACGCAGAGCAGGAGGGGCCCCTCGCCATGGCTTCCCAGCATCTTTCGGCGGGCCTCTTCGCTGGCAAAGCGCGGGTTGAAGGTGTCGCAGCAGACGCCCTTCTTCCACACCTGGATGGCGGCGGGGGGCGCCACCGCGGCCCGCTCCAGCACCCCCTTCATCACGCCGGAGGTCACCAGGGTCAGCGCCGCTGCTCGGTGGAAGTACTGCAGCACCCGCCACAGCGCGGGGACCAGCAGCTGCATGTTGTACCTGCGCCATCGGCGCAGGTGGGGCAGGGTGTCCGTGCAGGGGCACTTGCACGCCAGGGTGCGAGGCGGAGAGCAAGCGGCTTCTTCAGGGCTCGCCCAGGGTCCCGAGGCAAACCCCAGAGGCTTGCGGGGATGCCACCCCCCCATGACCCTGGCCCGCAAACAGCCATGGTGTCGATCATCCCCCCCCCGTAGTACCTTGGCATGTAGTCGGGCACGTGGGTGTGGTAGGCGTAGACCAAGGGGACCTTGAGCAGACGGGCGTAAAGCAGGCCGGCCAGGATCATGGTGCCGGGGGAGGTGCAGTGCACAATGTTGGGCTGGAAGGACCTGCGTGTTACAGGGTGGGAGTTGAAGGCTTGAGTGAATCGGGATCGGCAAAGCCAGGAGAGGCCGTGGCGGAAGCTACAGCAAAGCATGGTCTGGACAGACTCCGAACTAAAACCACATGGGCAGTGGTCGCCAGCACACAGTACACACCTCAAGCGCTTCAGGGGTCTGGTAGCTCAAGCGACTGCCTTCCCCACTGCTCTCACTCTCACAACCCCTCCCCCCCACACACACACACAATTGCCCGCGGAACGCACTTGACCTCCTTGTAGATGCGTGGGGACAGCCCAAAGGTGAGCGGCAGCTTTGCATACCAGGGAAAGGCAAAGGACATGGCCTCCACCACCTTGGCCCCGCAGAACTCTTCAGGCTGGCGCTGGGAGTCGTCGGTGGAGGCGACGCTCTGCGCAAAGGTGGCAATGGGAGCCTCGGGTGAGGATGTGACGCTGCAGGGATGCACAGGCAAGCCCAGGCACCGTCTGGACAAACACTCGGTCAAGCACAGTGCGGCACGTGCCGCACGTCCTGGAAGTCCCCGCGCCCTCCAGGCCTCACCTTGCCCGGGGTAACAATGAGCACCTCACACCCCAGTTCCTTCAGGTACCGGATGGTGTTGCGGTACCGGTTCATGTAGCCACACACGTAGGTGAAGGGGGAGGGTTCCACCAGGATGCAGATGCGTTTGGGAGGGGCGGGCAGGCCCATGGCTTGCATGTCTGTAGAGGCCACGGCACCCCGGGCTCTCATCGTCACTGCACGCCCTGATCGGGGAACCTGCGAACCGAAGAGCCTGGGATGGCCTGCATGTGTAATAAAGAGGCAAGCGTTTATTCAGAGCGTGGCAGGTTTGAGTCCTTTGAAGACTCCGAACCCGTGTGTCGGGTGTGGAGGTTTGGAACTCATGCACGCTCCCCTTCTCACCATGGGCGTCTCTCAAAGGTTTAGGGAGACTGCCATGCCGCCAAACTTGGCCTGTCTGGGCCATTGATGCGCCAAAGGTGGAAAAGCGGATGGTCCACTTGCTCGAGGGTCGTGTTGCAGCCAGGGCGGGGCGTTGCCCGTACACCACCGCAGAGCACATAAGTGCCCCTAGCTTATCGGCTGCAACACATTACATCTCCCAGCTGAGGTTTGCTGTCGACACAGGTGTGCGAGGGAGCAGATTCCTGTTTTGATTCACCCGGAAGAAATTGTGACATGCGACACAGCACAGGTTTGGGGGAGCCAAGCAGCACGTCCCTCCCGGCCCTTGCACTGGCATGGTCGATGCCAGATAACATCCACCGAACACTGTTCAAACCTATAAGCTGCATCCACTGATCACCGCCCCCCAGGGTGTAGGAAGGTGGGTAGGACTTACGGAAGACTGAGTCCGTCCCATACTGCACATTCCCACACTTACTGGGTCTCCGAGACGTGCACGCACGATGGCGAGCTGGTGGCAGGGTCTCATGGACTGGATCCGAAGGTTGGCGGAGTCGGCGATGTGTGGAGGGACTGGCCGAGGGAGGGGCCGTGCGGGGTTCCTTTTTGTTGGTTCTGAGAACTCGGCGGGAGACTTTCCTTTCTGGCGTACTCCTGGGGTATGACATCGTGACTCCCTTTCCCCCAATTTGTCAAACCGATCACAGCGTCCTCCATGCACCGATCACGGCTTGATGGGGCTCTAGGGTGACACAACCTTGGCCGCCTGAGATCCCACCCCTCCCCTCCCCCCTTGCCTCTCCCATCCCTCCCCCCAGCCTCTTCTTCACCAAGGAGATGGAGCTCTCCCTGGTGGGGCTACAGAACGCGGGAAAGACCTCCCTGGTGAACGTGCTCACCACCGGCAGCTTAGCGGAGGACATGGTGCCCACCGTCGGCTTCAACATGCGCAAGGTCACACGCGGCGGCATCACCATCAAGCTATGGGACCTGGGTGGCCAGACCCGGTTCAGGTCCATGTGGGAGCGCTACTGCCGTGGCGTGCAGGCCATCGTCTTTGTCGTCGACTCGGGCGACGTGGATGGGCTGGAGGCGGCGCGCGTTGAGCTGCACGAGCTGCTGGGCCGGCCCAGCCTGGCCGGCATCCCGCTCCTAGTCCTGGGCAACAAGAACGACCTGCCGGAGGCCCTGTCCGCAGCAGAGCTCACCGCCAAGCTGGAACTGGAGGTATGGCTTTTTGTTTTGGGGAGGAAGGGGAGAGAAATCTTGCAGCAAGGCTTCAGGGCTCCTGACGTTTTGGAGCCTGGGCCTGCACCTCCCACCACTCCTGCCCTGACCCCAGCATCCCCCGCCCCCCTCCCCCCCCGCACACTCACACCCTGCAGGCCATCAAGGGGCGGGAGGTGTGCGTGTACAGCATATCCTGCAAGCGCCAGTCCAACATCGACGTCACCCTGACGTGGCTCACCAAGCACGCCAAGAGCTGAGGCGGGTTGCTTGGTGCATGCGTGGGGCGGGGGGGGGGCCTTCCATCCGCCCACCCCGAGCACCCTTTCAGTGTGCCGCTGATGCTGGATTGCTGTCACGTCAGCACGGCGCATGCCATAGGCCCTGTAGGGTCCTTCTTTTACTGGCTTCTTCTGAGCTTGCTGAAAACCCCATGCCTCCTTTCTCCCAAGGCTCATGCCCGCTTGGACCCCCCCTTGCTTTGCTACTACCCCACTCCCCCTGTACCACCCTACCCAATACCCCCCCCCGCAACTGGTACCGAGGCGTGCGAACCAGCCCTGGTTGGCGCTGGCTGAGGATCCGTACAGACAAGGGGACAAGGGGTGCCCGGCACGCGAGCCCTCTCAACATTGCGCCGCGGCGCCGCAGGACGGCCGCGGCCGCGCGAGGCCCGGCCGCGGCAGCGCGGCACACCGCGTGGCCAGCGAGCCCCAGACCGCGCCCGCGCCGCGCAGGCCCAGGCTCAGGCTGGCCAGCAGCGAGGGCGGCGCGGGGCCCTCCCCGGCCGTGGCGCCGGCCGGCGCCAGCGCGGGGCCGGGCGCGGGCGGCTGCCACCCGGGCGCCAGCTCGGCGGCGAGCACGTCGTAGGGCACGGAGGCCAGCAGGTCGCCGCCGCCGCGCGCCTTCCTCCCGCGCCGCCCGCCCCTGCCGTCGCCGCCCTTGCCGCGCTTCCTGCCGTCGCCGCGCGCCTTGGCGGCCCAGCGCGCCTCGCCGCTGCGCACGCTCTGGCGCTCGTGCCGCGCCTCCAGCGCGTCGGCCACCTCGTAGTGCACACGCTTCTGCTTCCAGAGCGGGAAGCCGCGGGCCAGGGGCGTGCCGGGGACGAAGTCGTAGTCCAGGTTGTACCGGTCCCACACGCGGCGCGCGTTGCGCTGGGCCTGGGCCATCTGGCGGCGCAGGAGGGGGGACGCCGGGATGGCAAAGCACTGGCCCATGGGGCCGGGGGCCAGGAAGCCGGTGGCGTGCGGGTAGTGCAGCGGGTCCTGCATCAGCGGCAGCGGCTTCCCCTCCGCGTCCTGCATCATGCGCACGGTCACCTCCCCGTCCGGCTTGTGCTGGAACATGCGGGCCTTGGCCACCACGCCGCGGACCTCCTGCACGGTCCCCCTGCGACGCGGCACCGTGGGGTGGGCTGGTCGAGGATTCTGGGGGTCGGGCGCGGAGGTGACCCCGCACCAAACTCCCGTCCGGCTGCCATGCCGCTGCACCAGTCCTGCCACAGGAGGCCAAGGGCTTGGCTGCCACCAGTGCTCCTTGGCCTCGTCAAGATCCAGCCTGCGGGCCTGAGAACAACGCCCGGGCTCCCAAAACAATGAGCCTGCCGCATCCCCCCGCCCCCCGATCCGCCAAGCCCCCTTTCTTCACTCACATGATCTCCTCCAGCGAGCAGTACCGGCCCTCGGGGTCCGGGCCGGAGCGGAAGTAGTCATTCACCCAGGTTCCCAGGCGGGCATTGGAGATGATGCCGGGGGCCGTCTGCTGCCACGCCTCCACCGGATCCTCCCCAGCCATCACACGCTTGAGGTAGGGGTTGATGTCCTGCTCTATGCCACACCTGAGCGTTAGGAGGAGTCGAAGAGAGGGGGCCCGTGTTGCAGGCAAGCATGGCAGCGGCCTGGTGGATCAGAGGCTGAGAGGACTGCCAGAGACGATGTCTTGGCTGGGGGGGGGAGACGTGAGCCCAGCGCATGCTCTGAAGCACGCAACCACCGCCACCCTTCCAAGTTGCGAGGTGACCCCCCTGATGCTCCCCTGGTCTGCACTCTTCGCCCTCGCTCTCACCCTTGGCGCCGGCCGATGGAATACTCGCCACGATAGATGTGGCCATCCGCGGCTGTGTACTGGCCCATGCCATGCGCCCAGCCAGACTCAAAATCGCCCTCATACCTGCGCCAGGCATTCAAGGGAGGGGGAGGTTTACATGCAAGCCACGCCGCGACGAATCCTCAGCCCTCAGGTCAAGTCAGCTAAGTTGAACCACCCGGGCACTACCACCGACCATTCCAGGGGGTGTAGCACCCCGATGGCACCCATCATGGCCGCTTACAGGCCCGAAAACAACACGTCTGCTCTCCAACACTATACCCTGCCGCAGAGAGACCACCCACCGATCTCCCAGCTTGGTGTTCCCGATGCCACCGCCTCCAAATGTGCCAAAGCTCATCACTCCAACGTTGTGAGGGATGTTGAGCTCCATCAAGCCTTCGTACCTGCATGCATGCTAGGATCGTGGTATAAGAAAACTCGCAGCTCAATGAACATCTCCGGTCTCCAGGTCGAACCCGAGAGCGAGCTTGCCTCCCAAAGAGTGTCCCCACAGCCCATGTACATGGCAGCTCAGGTAGACCCCCGGCGTACGTGGAAGCGTCGTCATACACGTAGCTTTGCCACATCAGGGGATTCCCTGTAAATGGCGCATACGGATGATTGGATCCCGCCAGCCTCCAGGCCGGGTTGATCATCCGCCCAGCTTGCTTCGTAGGGGCCTTCCCCACGAAGGTCGCCCTTGGGAAGGGATCCTTGTCATTGGGATCCATCTCGTCCCTCCTCCTGTGAGAAAATCGATTGCTCCCTGCTCCCGGCTGGAACTGCGTGTTGCGCGGATGCAAAGTCGAGGGGTTATCCTCTGCCAGCGGGGTCGGGTATGCACATGCGTTGCGTGCTGGGAGGTACCCATCTCCCATGATCCCCGGTGGGCAGTTCTCGACCTCATCATGGACGTAAAGCTCACACGTTGTGCCCTGGCCTTGGTCTGTGTGTGTATGTGAGACATCTTGCCTCCTTTCAGCACCCCATTTTCGACGCAGAGATCCTGAAGATGCAGAGCATGCTGGCTAACAGGGGGGCGTCGTGCCGCATGAGTCACTGCACCCCCACCGAGCCAGGGTGAGTACTGGGTGTTTGACGCAGCGCGCGTCGGACATAGGCATCTTCGACCAATTTAAGAGGCATTACATCGTCATTGCGGCCTTTCATCCATCGCAGATGCGCTTGTGGACCACTCAGGTGTAGGGTCTCATGGAACTTTCATGGCAGGGAATCCCAATCGAACGTGGTGAGCACTTGGTCCCGGCGGAGGTGGCCGTGTGTATCTCCTGCTTACCCTGGTGGTCAAATGAAGTCTATGTTTCCATTTCCTACAGTCCGTGGCATGGCCCAGAAGCTTGTGCATAGAGTTCGGCTAACGCATGACGCATTTCTCCTTTTGCTAGCAGCAAGCCAGGATTCCCAGAAGCTTCAGCTGTGTACAAAGTGCACAACGTGGCCGGGTGCTGGCTGCCGCAACTGCAAACTCAAAATCCAACCAGGAGGAGACCTTTGTTGAGGTATTTTTAAGAATGCTGGAGTAGACATCCGCGCTGGACGTTCCGAGATCGATCGAGGGAGTCCGTATCCCGCTCTGCCCTCTTTACACCTACCTATGGGCATGACACTGCAAAAATTTCTCCAGTAAGCCTTCCTCTCTGCATTCAGGTGAACCTGGCCAAGCCGCTGGGAGTGAAGTTCAAGAGGGGGAACGATGGGGCAGCCTACGTCTCCATCACTGACCCCCGTCTGGGCAACACCGACCCAAGGATCAAGCCGGGCGACCGAGTGGTGGCCGTGTCTGCCAGCTTCGGGGGCGACGTCTGGGAGGCTCGCAATTTTGGGCAGGTGATTTATGCTATCAAGACCCGGAATGGCGAGGTCTTCCTGCGTCTGGAGAGCCGAGGTGGCAACCTGGACGTATTTGAGGTCGGTGGGTGTGTGGTGGAGATGGGGACTGGGGATTCAAGGGTGCCAATGGGAGTTCAGAGACAGGAGGGCGGTGTGGCATGCAGGTGAGGGTTTGGAATGATGCAGGGAGTGACAGGGAAACCACCAGGTGGGGTCGAGCCCGACCCCTCATGGTATCAGGGGGAAGTGGTTTTGTTTTTTCGCGAGCACCACACAGAAACTGGATATCACCAGTGGAGGGGTTTCAAAGGATCATGCGGTCCCAAGCCCGCACGAACCTCTCCTTCACATCCTGTGCGCAGAACCTCGATGAGACGGAGGAGCAGCGTCTGTGGAAGGAGGATCGGACGGTGGGCAACTACAGCGCGGGGACGAAGGAGGTCCAGCTCCGAAACTACGACTCCAAGAAGAGGGCGGAGCAGGAGCGCAAGGACCTCTTCAACATGGCGCTGTCCCGATTCAAGGCCCAGAACGTGGAGGAGGTGGTGGGGGGGGGAGGGGCGGGGGTCTGGGTGCCTGCTGGGAGGGCGCAGGGAGCCCCGGCCATCTGCCTCGTTGGGGCTCGATGACACGCACAGCGCCTCACGTTCCCCTCCCCTTGCCCCGCCTCCGTATGCAGGCCCTGATCGACTTTGAGAATGTACTGTCCATGGAGCCCCCCAACTTCTTGGGCGACGACTTCTCCCGCGTGACCAACATCGCCCGCGTGACGCAGTACAACATAGCCTGCTGCTATGCCGCGCTGGGCCAGGTCGACTCCGGCCTCGAGGCACTGGAAAGCGCGCTGGACTCTGGCTTCGAGGACTACGCCAAGGTGGGGCAGGGCCAGGGTGTGTCCATGAGGTCGCATGCTGTCAATCGTGGGGATGATGAAAGGGTCGTGGGGAGACTGCGCCTTCGCCTCCGCGCCTCGATCTGCCCTGCCACATCGGCGTCGCCCCCCCCCCCCACCCCCTTCTCCCCTTTGCCAGGTCCGCTCCGACAAGAACCTGGAGAAGCTGCGCACCTCCCCCCGCTTCAAGACCATCATCGACAAGTATGACGAGCCCTTCATCAACGAGGCCGCCATCAGGTGGGGTGGTTCTTCACGCTGCTGAGAGGGGCTCGAGGTGAAGGAGCCCCCTTAAGGAGCAGCATGGTCGAGGATCTGGGACGATCTGGTGCTCACATGCAATGTAGTTGCCCTTCTTTAAGTAACACACTCTCACCTACTCACGCACCCCCACCATACTGCAGTGCGATCAAGAACATCTTCTCTTTTGGGAGGAAGAAGTAGGCCGGTGATCGACTGCCAGCTTTTGCGCCACGGGCTTCCGTATCCTGGACTGCAGATATGATTGCACCCGTGTAGCTACCACCCTCACACTAGCACAGCCCTTCCCCTGCATATTCCTGCAGCTGTGCGCGTCCCTGTATACCACAGTCAGTTGCTGTGTTGAGGCCCAGAGACAAGGGATTAAAGAATATATCAACATGACCATCTGCGCATGACTGGTCGAAAAATTTCAGCTGGCAGGCACCCAGTGATGCGCCAGTCCCTGGTTCGCTCAGAGGCCCAGCTTCTTTCGCAGCTCACTGAGCTCATCTTCGATGGTAGGCGACGCCGCCCGCTGCGCAGCCGCCGCATCCTCCTCCCGTTTGCGCTGTGCAGCCGCGTCCTCCTCCCTCTTGCGCCGTGCCTCGGCCCCAGATGCAGCGTGGGCACCACTCCCGTTCCGCTGTTCGGATGCCTTGTCCCTAGCTCCAGCCTCTGCCTGGTCCTTCCCTGCACCCTCCTCGTCTTGGAGCCCCAAGCCCTGTGCCGGGCACAAGTCGCAGGTCAAGAGGGGGTGGGCAGATCAATGGAAAGGAGTGCACGGGGCCAGGAGCATGCTCGAATGCATGCTCAGCGGCAGGGTAATCCATGCCTGCAAGAGGCAAAAGTCTCCCACCTCCAAAAGAATACAGAGGCTCACTCCCCCTACCGACTCCAGGAACTCTACAAACTCCTCGCCCACGCCAGCGAGGTCGTCCCAGAAGGATGTCGGCCCCATCTTTCCCTGCTTCTTCCTTCGCTTCTCCAGGTAAGCAGCAATCTCACGTTCAATGTCGCGCAGGACATCCGCTGGTCGGGAGAAGATCGGGGGGGGCAGGGATGGGTGTTGTGGCCAGGCCCCGGGTCTCGTGAGGATGACGAAACACGAGATGTGGTCCCAGCATGCCATCGGCCTTGCCTGCAGGAGGCTCCTGGCATAACATACAGCCTGATCATATAGCCCACCCCTACCACAAGAGAGAAACAAAGTTCCCACCCAGGCTGTAGGCTTCCTCCTGTGCCTCGCCGGGACTGAACCCCTTGAGGTCCCAGTTCCAGAAGTCGGGACCGGGGGCCGGCGGGGGCTTGGCGCTGCTGCTCCCCCTCCCCGCCCTGCCACTTCTTGAAAGCAGGGTTTGGTATGCCTCCTTGCACTCCATGAACTCAGTCTTGGCGCTGGGCTGCGACAGGGGAGCCCACCATGGCGAGTGGGAAGAGAGGACTCGACGATGACTGGGCCCCAGCCCTACTGCACTACCCGCTCAGCACCATCATGGGTCAGACGTGGCTGTCTGGCAGACTAGGTACAGGAAGGTTCCGGCCTGCATGCCCGCTTGAGCATTGCCTGATTCCCTTTCCACAGGGTCACCACACACCCATCACACACCGCTTTATTGACGTCAGGATGCAGCTTGAGAGCCTTTTTCTTGAACGCCTTCTTGACATCCTGGATGTTGCTGCCAGGAGCCACTCCCAGCACCTGGTAGGGGTCTCTGGCGGCAGCAATGCGGAGGCCCCTGGCTGGTGAGCATGGGGTTCTTGCTGGGCTGCTCCTTACCCTGTCGGAAGCAAACGCTCGAATGGGATAGTGAAGGCATTTTCAGGCTGAAAGCCTGGCTGATAATGCATGCCAAAATGCACTGCGGCGCAGTGTGGAGACGACATTCCCCATGGATGTTTCTCGGTGGTCGCTTTCGACGACACGCACCTTGCTCCCTGAAACGCCTTCTGGCCGGGCGGCAATCGGACCACACCCCTACCCGTCGCCCAGCTCAACATGGTGGAGCGCGACGCTTCGACCGTCGAGTCTGGGGCGTGCCAGTCTATGTGTCGTGGGAGCCTGCATCTCCACTTCGTTGTGGGACCACGTGGAGCCAACTCAGCTCAGCGAGTCTCATTCCCCAGATCACTTTCTGCACGGGTTTTGAGTATTCTACATTACACAGAGGGAGGGGGTACAACCATGCTCTCAGTCAAAATTCAGGACAAGGGATTCAGTGCCACAACATGAGCCAGTGTCTATGTGCCAAAGGGTTGCACGCCGAGCGTATGTGTGTGTGTAAAAGGGGGGGGAAAGGGGTTCCGTCGAAGACCGGCAGAGGTGAGGGTCCCTCCACCCCTCCCACAGGCAGCACATCACGCTGCGGCCCGGGCAGCGTCCTCCTCCTCCTCGTCATCTTCGTCGTACACCACGGGCTCCAGCAGCTCGGCATCCACCCAATCGTCCGGCACGCCCCAGGCGCAGGCTGTCTCCAGGAGGAGGTTGAAGTTGCCGCCCTGCCCGGCAAAGGCATTGGAGGTGACGATGCGGAAGAGGCCGCGCTCGCCCCAGGGCTCGCCCCAGGAGTTGCGCACCACCCAGTACTCCACGCCGTCCTCGACGCCCCACCCCACCACCGACACGATGTGGTTGATGCTGGCGGAGGGCGCGAACTCGGCGTACAGCCCGCCGTTGTAGGCGTCCAGGCCCTCCGTCGCGGCGATGCCGCAGCTGATGGGTCCGCGCGCGTAGATCTCGGCCTTCATGTCGGCCACGCCGCTGACGCGGCCGTGCTCGGCCACGGTCAGGCGGCGGTGGGTGGGCACCGCCGCGCACCCCGTCCCCGGCCAGCAGGTGAAGCACTGGTGCTTGGGGTTGCAGCGCTGGTCGGCGGCCACGTACAGGTTGCAGGTCTCGTCGGGGATGCCGTGGCGCGCGGCGTACTCATACACGCGCACGTCGGAGCCGCCGTGGCAGGAGCCCGCGCCGCCGCAATCGATCACGTTCTGGACGGAGAGGTAGGCGGAGGGCCAGGCGCCGCCGCGCTTGATGTTCATGCGGTCGGCCAGGGAGGAGGTGGCACCGTGCGCCCAGCAGGAACCGCTGTTTGAGGGAGGAAGGGGCGTCGGGGGTGGGCGGGGGGAGGGAACTGGGGCGTGAGGAGGGAGCATCAGCGGCATAGCAAAGGCTGCCCCTTCATGCATGAGGGAATGGCAGTGGAACGGCAGCCACCTACCATGGCTACGACAGCCAGTGACACTGCTGGACCCGGCGACATCCCCCTCATGATGAGGTCATGGGTGCCCAGACCATCCCGAAGGCACACAACCCCATCCACCCATCCACCGCGATCGCGCACCAGTACTGGGGAATGTGCTGGTTCCGGGTGGTGCTGAGGAAGTTGGTGCCATTGACGTTGCGCCAATCAAAGGCCTCGGGCAGGTCCGACTCCTTGAGGTAGGAGGAGGGCTTGGGCGTCGACCTGTCCGAGGTGGCAGTGGGGTTCCGGGCAAGGGTTTCGGGAAGGGCCCCTCGCACAACCGCGCAGCCTCCCGATGGGCTACCATGTGCGTAACAACCACATCGATGGAGTGCGGGGCCCCAAAGAGGGCGGTGGCAGGAGTGGCGGAGGCAGGCAATCTGCTGGCAGATGCTGGCACGAACTTCAAATTTGTCGCACGTAACCCCACAAGTCGCACCTCAGCTCCTTGTAGTCATCGGGATAGGTGATGACCGTCGCGAAAACCGATGGCTTCCAGTCCGTGCCGGACTTGACAGCCACACTCTCGGGAACATCCCGAGCCCAGACCCCCACCAAGACTGCCAGGGACACTACAAATATCAGTTTCATGGTGCTTTTATTGAGATGTACTTCTTTGAAGAATGAAAATGGATTTCGCTGCCATGGGAAAGGAATAAGTTCACTTTGGTTCCGGCGGAGGGTGGTGAGGGGAAGCTGTGGAAGTTCTTTCTTTGTTCCCGGTTATCCGGTCAGTCAGGCCGTGAGGGTTTGGGTATGATGAAAATCCTTCTACTACGCCACCGAGTTCCTCATTGCCAGCATTTAAGGTAACACAGTCTGGTAGGGATGATGGGTAATTGTGTTCGAGCAAGTTTGTGGCATCGGCCAAGCGTCAGGATGCAGAATTCTTGCCCACATCCATACGGTGTCAGCGAATCAATGCACAGCCAGTGATGCTGGCAGCTTGATAAAAGGCGGAATGTCACCCAGTTGCGGCACTCCTGGCTACAAGAAGTGGGACTTGGAGGGTGACAGGGGTGAAGGGGGACAGACTTGAACCTCGTTGTATCCTTCAAAGTTTGAAATGTAGCAAACCCCAGGAGTGGTCACCATACCTCTATGGTATTCCCCCCTAATGCTCGTTCGTTTCTCTGTCAACGAAATGCATGTACCCATACACCCCAAAAGGCAGCTAGAATGCCGGAACGAACGAGTGCGATGACAACCTCCCTGCATACCGCGCTCGCGCTCATGCAGTTCCCGCGGCAGGTTACGACCTTCAAAGGTAATCATGGCAACAGGCACTTGTCTAGCTGCAAGTGACTTCCAGTCGCACAGAAGAGCTCTTAACGCACAGGTATATCGAATTTGGCACCTTGGTCCCACAAAACGGTGGACACTGGGCCAAACTTGTCGTCGTGCACCAGAGACAACCCCAGGACACGTCGACCACTTGGTCTCCTCTGCGGACGACAGGGAGTTGTAGCACCCGGATAACATCGCAATGGACATGTCGATGGACCATGCCGGGCATAACCACAGCGCCCACGTAAGCGTTTCCCCCCCCATGGCACACGACCACGGCGCTGTCTTACGGCACGAAGACGGCAGCTACTATTACAGCCACGGAGCCTGGCTTGGTCACGTAGTACCTGGCAGTTTTTTCTTGGTGCGAGAAGAATGGACCGGGAGTGCTTTCGATGAGGGAGGGTCCGTTTGCTCTCAACCTGTGTAAGTCGAGCTGCCGACTGACTTGGCTCTGCTGGGTTTCCGAAGGTCATCTTTGCTGTACAGATAATATCTTCCCAAAGCTGTCACTATTCCACGTGCACAGCTTTGGGGCGTCTGGTGGATGCTGGCCACCTTTTATGAGCACCTGGCATCTGCAGCAGGGGGTCCACCCTTCAGGTCAAGGGGCTGGCACCGCTTGTTCTTCGGCACCGCCAGGGCGCGGCGCTTTCCTGTGGAGCCATTTGTCAAGATAGTCCTCCCCCTCTTCGGCATCCTGGGCGAGCTCTGGCTGGGACACGACCAGTACATGTGCGCACTTGTGTCCCTGAGGGAAGAGTGAGGTTGCGCTGGGCATCCCTCATGCAAGCTCCTGAAGTTCCTGGATCACCGGCTCGAAATGCAGAGGTTGAAGTACAACCCGCTTGTCTCCAACTACAAACAACCCTGTTCATCAGCCGTACGCTTGACGCTGTCACAGGAACCTGTACGCCTCCGACGGAAAGTTTGTGATGGACCATGTCAACGACTGGCAGCACTCTGCCATGTACTCTGCGTTCATGCTGTCTGGTCTGGTGGATCTGGCCACCTGGTATGGCAGGCTGCCAGAGGGCATCGAGCATGTAAGGGGTTGGGTGTCAGGGTTCAAATCTGATGCCCATGCAGCCACTTCGGTGATCGTTATTTCTGTCGGAGCGTTGGGGTCGGCCCGCTTGGGCTTGCTGTCGAGAGCCGCGCCTCCATGTAGTGGACCAGCGACTGGCAGCAAGATCACGGTATCAAATCCAACAAATTCCGTGGCAGGCGTCGCTGGGCATGGCCTTCCTGATCGAGGGCATGCTCCTGGTCTTCCACCTCAAGGGCCCTAAGATCGAGATCCTGGTGCACCTCATCCTCGTCATCCAGGTGGGGGAAGCCCTGGTTTGGCACGCAGGGGACTCTTTGTCTGCCTTGGTCCGGCCCCTGCATCTGTGCTCTGGTCGCCAGCTGTCTCGACTGGGAACAGGTGACCGACCAGTCCCCCCCGCGCGTCGCAGATCTTCCTCACCGTGGTTGCCGTGGTATTCGAAGCCCTGATGCCCACCAGCTTCGCGGCCGCCCTGGCGCGCCCCCTGTCCACTGTGATCCAGGGCGTGTGGTGGATCCAGACGGCGTACATCATGTACCGAGGTGCGGCGAGGGGCGCTCATGCGGGTTTGGGAGATTGGACCACACACACCTTTTGTGCAACTGCACCTGCATTTCTGCAGGCCACAAGCCGTCTCGAGATGCTTCATTCCCCCGACACCTGCCTGCAGCAAAGCCGCAGTGGGATCCGGAGGACATGAGCTCCGCGATGATGGCGCCCGTGGCGTGGGTCACGCATGTGCTGTGGATCACAGCCGCCATGCTCTCGGGTAAGGGGTGGCAGCGCACGGCTGCCAGACACGCGCGCCGTCTTGCGTTTGGCGATCGGCGGCCTCAGCCCGGGGTGGGCTGGTGCTGACCTTGCCAAGTATTCCCACCCTCCGCTGCAGCCAGGAGCTCAAACCAACTCCCCCCCCCTCCCCCCCCATCTCCCTCAGTATTTCTGCTGATGCGCTGGGTTACGGAGCGGCACCTGGGCTGGGTGTACAAGGAGGAGCGCGGCGCGCCGGGGCTGGGCTCGCCCATGCCCGCTGCCAGGTACGGCGCCCAGCGTCCCAGTGGCCGCACCAACGGCCACATCGACCTGGAGCTGAGCGCCCTGACCTCTGACAAGTACTGATGTGGGTCGATTCAGCGCTGCCCCCCCCTCGGTTGAGTTACATGTTGCGAGGGGATGACGTGTCAAAGCTGCTACAGAGTGTACAGAGGAGCTGGGCGGGCAACCGGGGGGTGCACGGCTCCAGAGCCACACCGTGCTTTCCATCGCCGCTCGGCGCCAGGGCTCAGCTCTGCACCACGGCCAGCTGGGCGGTGGTTAGGCGCAGGCCGCTGCCCTGCACCGAGTAGGCCACCTTGACCGTGTCCTCGCTCCAGGCGACGATGCTGGGCGAGCTGATTACACCTGGCATGGTCGATGCTTGGGGGAAGGGTCTGCAGTTTGGTGTGAACACCTGTAACTGGCCTGGGGCTGGGCACCTGGACATCGGACATGCCATGCACGAAGTCAAGGATCCCCTTCATACAAGCAGAGGCCACCGACCCCCCAGGGCCAACCCTCCGTCCCAGCGCCCCGCACCTCCCGGCAGTTTGTGCAGGGACACCACCTCCTCCCAGGTCCTGCCCGCGGTCAGCGACAGCGAGATGGTCAGGCTGGCCCGGTCCTTGGAGCCGACGTTGTGCACCGCCAGCAGCTGGTCGTCCAGCAGCAGGCTCGCCAGCTTGGAGTTGGGGTTGGCCAGCGCCACCGCGCCCGGCTTGCTCCAGGAGCTGCCGTCGGGCGTGCCCACGGACCGGAACACTTGCCCTGGCATCAGAGAGGAGGGGGAGTAGACAGAGGGAGGTGGTGATGAGGGTGAGCGACGGTGGTGCCGGAGGGCTGAGAGTCTTCGCAACCAGGTCCGGTCGCGGGGAGGGACAGCAACCTGGCACGCACACAGCAGGGGCATTGCCGGCAAACAGGCATGCCGCCAGAGGGCACAGACATGGGAGCGACCAGATGCCAGGGGCATGAAGTCCACCCTCCCGGCCTGCGGGGTGAAATGCCCAACCCTCACCCCATATTTCCCCCTCTTGCCACCCCCACGCCCACCCATGCAGCTGCGGAAGAGGGCCACGAGCGTGCCATCCGACAGCACCTCCAGCGCCGGCTGGTTCAGCCAGGTCTTGGGGTGGTCGATGATGGACGCCAGCGCCCAGTTGTCACCACCGTCCCGCGAAACCAGGATCGCTGCGGGAGAGAGGGGCCAGGACAAACGCAGGGGGTCGCAGCAGCAGGTGGTTAAGGTGGGGATGTGGAGTTGGTGACCCTGTGACGAGGCATGTCGGACATGTCTCCCAGGAATACGTCCAGAGACACCATGCAGTCTGCACGCGTATCGTCGATGTAGTGATCGCAAGAGTCGCCAGGCTGGAACCATGCCATGGTCAATGACAGCGCCCTCTTCGCTTGAGATCTAGGTCCCCCGGCCGAATCAGGCATCACGATGAAGGTGCTTTGCCTTCCCCCAGCGCTACACATCGCCGCTCCCAAGCCCCATAACCTACGACACCCACCCGCAGCCGAGAGCAGGCTGGGCGGGGTTGCCCCCGGCGGCGCCGTCACGCATGGCACGGCCGCCCGCTCCGCCCCCAGCTCGCTGTAGGTGTCCTTGTTGAAGACGGCGTGCGCGCCCTGGGGTTCCAGGTGCACCGCCAGGAAGAGCTCACCGCTGGTGCCGAGCACGGGGCGGCTGGAGGTCACCTTGGGCACCGGCTCGTGGGCCTCGTGCGCCCACACCAGGCTGGGCGGCGACCACGTGGTGCCGGCGTCCAGGGAGACTATGCGCCGGATGTCGCCACCGGGGGAGGGGGCCTTCCGCGATTCGGAGTAATACAGGGCCAGCCGCCGCCCCGCCGCGTCCCAGTGCAGCACGGGCGCCCACAGCGGCGTCAAGCCCCACTGCACTGGCCGGTGCGGCTGCCACGTCTCCCCGCCTGCGGGCAGGTGGTGGGCCTTGTGTGGAGAGCATCGTGCGGCTTGTGAGTCATGGACTCGCGGGAGGCAAGCTCGCGAGCTTGCAGGCCCTGCTCCGACCCCACATGTGCAGGGGCGGGGACTCGCGACACATCCCTGCCCTGCAGTCTTTCGATCCCCATGTATGCAGTATTCATTCACATGCATCGCTTCCACCCTCACCGTCCTTGCTGGTGGTGAAGGCAATGTACTGATCCCTGGAGCCCTGGTGGGGCAGGGACGATACCTGGTACGCCAGTGCCAGCAGGGGCGCTCCCCCTGGCTGGGGAATGACGGCCAGGCTGGGCTCCCCCAGGCTGCCGCCGTCGAGTTCCTTCGCGATCACGCCATGCCTCAGTTTGTGGGAAAAGTCTGCCGGGGTGCTGGCACTAGCCCCCATGACTCGGCAGGCTGATCCCGACACGCACTCACACTATCTACGCTTGGATAAAAATGCACAGATGAACTCGAATCAATTTTCTACTCGCGCCGGATGGCACACGATCCTGCTTCGGCACCGAATGCTCCGGCTGGCCTGGCTCGTCCATCCCGTGATTTGAACTCGCAGCACGGCAGCTCATCACCCTCGTGGGAATCCGGTGATCGACCTTCGATCCAATGGATGGAGCCACCGGACACGCACGGTTCGCGACGACGGCATAAAAGCAGTAACGCATCGATACTCCCTGCCTATTCGATCGGAGAAGCGCTGTCGGGAGATTACCCCTGCCGGCCTGGTCCACTGTCCTATCAGCCTGCACGGCTTGGTGTGCGATGGCCACGAATGGCGATATAGTCGAGGGCTACCTTGTGGTGAAGGTGCTCGAAGTTGCAGGGCACAATAAAAACGACGAACCTGTGTGGGACCCGTCATTCCAGGCGGGCTACGTCAAAGGCGAGTCCATAAGCTCTTGCCTGTGGTTGGAGGGGGTAACGGATGGTCCCTGATGCCGGCCCCGGCAATCTTGGTTGATCTGAGCCGTATACAGTCACTCTTTGAATGCAGTTGAGATCCGTGGAGGCTCCCGCATCGTCAAGGTGAGACAATCGCTCGGTGTGACTGCATGACACCGTGAGCACCAGTTGGTCAAGCTGCGGTCTTCAATGGTCCGTTCTGGTCAACTGTTTCCACAGAAGAGCACAAGCTTGCAAAAAGTGGTCGACAATGTCATCACCTGGGAGGAGCAGCTCGCACTGTGAGCCTGATTGCTGGTGTCAGCTGGCTGCTGGGTGTTGTGGACACAGCCGTGATGGAGTGCTCCCTCACCTGCCCCTTCCGTGACCCCTCCCATCCTGTCTGGACATTGCAGGGAGGCGCTGAAGGACGCTAATGAACTCCGCATCATGCTCTGCCAGGAGAAGAAGTCCGATGAGAGGCCTGCCAGATCCAGCATCGTCGCGGCCTGCGGTGAGTGCAGGGGCTTCCCTTTGTGGTGCAGCGCGCTCCACAACAATGGCCCGCGAGGTGCACGCTTGCCCCCTCCTGCCCTCCAGTGCAGTGGGCGCTGATGAGGTCATCCATCTTGGCTGTGCCCCATCTGCAGGCATATACATTCGGGACCTGTTGGAGGCTGTGCCGGTCGACAAGTACTTTGAGCTGTTCCAGCCCAGTACGTGGCGCGAGCAGTGGCTGGCATGTTGTCACAGGAGGGGGGAGCAGTACAGCATGCAAGCCAGGCCTACATGCCCTGGGTCGAAGGTCACGACGAGAAAACTGCCTGCCCCAGTCGACATGATATGTGCATGCACTGACGGGCATGGCGTAGATCTTGCCCACCCTTCGCTCCCCCTCACCCCACCTCAGAGCTGGGCAAGGATGGCGGCTTCATCCGCGTCTCTGTCAACTACCTCCTCCCCGACCAAGTCAGGAATGGCGCACCCCCCCTGGAGGCAGAGCCGTGAGTGGAGGATTGGGTGGCTGCGTGGCGGTGCATAGGTTGGAGCTGGACATGCACATGTCCGGCTGTATGTGTGTGCTGGCCGGCACAGCGCTTGAGGGCCGCAAGTGTGCAACCTACCTCCTCTCAATGGAGCCTCCCTCCCTCGCCTCGCTCAGGACGGAGCTCAGCGAGCCCGCCAAGAAGGAGAAGGGCAGGGCGCCCTGGGTCCAGCTGGCCCTGCTGGCGGCCGCGGCCGCCTTGGCTGCCACGCGAGTGCTGGCCAAGAAAAACTGAACCCCCGCGCCATCGGCCCCCCCCATGTACACCTATGCCACGACGTTGCCCCTCCCTCCGTCTGCACCCCACAGTGAACGTCGCTGCAGTGCTTGCAGGCTGTACACCTCCCCTGACTTTACTGCGGCACCCATCCTGGGTGGGAGGGACATGATGGTGGACGCATGCAGGGGATTGCAGTCCCAGGGTGGGTGGCGTGGGAGGGCGTGCCACCATCCATGCACCGTCGGGCAGCGCGCACGTCGTGGCAGGCAGGGACCGTCGGCGCTTCCTTGCAGACCGCCTGTGCCGCGCCCTCAGGCCGCATGTCTGTCGTCCTTGATGGGGACGAGGCGCCAGACCACCGCCAGCGCCGCCCCGATCCAGACCATGAAGAGGATGGAGACGGCGGAGGGCATGGCCACCAGCACGTCGGCAAAGTGCTTGGTGGAGAGCGCGTAGCCCATGGCCGCGCTCTGCATCCCCGTCTCGATGCTGACGGTGCGCGAGGTTCGCTCCCCGAACCCCAGCACGCGCGGGAGGAGGTAGCCGAAGAAGTAGCCCAGCGTGTGCAGCAGCAGGACCGGCAGGCAGGCCGAGGCGCCGTGCAGCCTGCAGGTGGTTGTGATCGTGGGTGTGAGACCCTGGGGCGCAACGTGGGGCTTGCTCGGGTGGTGCACTGTCGTGTTGCAGCAGGGGGCAGTGGACACCGCGGGTCGGCGGCACATGGGGCAGCCGGGTGTGCAGGGGGGAGCGTGGCGCCCCCAAGGACTCGTCTGGAGGCCTGAAGGACGGCGTGACACCCCGTTTTCCCCATGGCACGGGCAGGGGGACCCCTCAATGGAAGGGATCCTCCCACCCCCCCGGTCTCTGGATCCAACAAGGCCAGTGCCCCCTCACATCCACCCAACCCCTCGCACGCACGCCAGGAGGGGCGCGACCTGCGCGACGGGCGTGGCGCAGAGGACCACGGTGAGCAGGATGGCCAGGAGGGGCATGGCGGGGCGCACGCGGCCGACGAGGCCCGGCAGCGTCTCGTTCAGCACCACGCCGGCCAGCGTGGGCAGGAGCACCAGCTTGACGGTGGAGGCCGCCAGCGCGGCGGTGCTGACCGGGACGAAGCGCCCGGCCAGCGTGCTGGTGAGCAGCGGGGTCATGACCGTGGCGGCCAGGGTGGAGGCGGCGGTCATGATGACCGACAGCGCGACGTCACCGTTGGCCACGTAGGTGGCGATGTTGGAGGCCTGGCCGCCGGGGCAGCAGCCGAGCAGGATCAGGCCGACGGAGAGGCCGGGAGACAGGCCCAGCGCGCGGGAGATGGCCAGCGCCAGGCTGGGCATGATGGCGTACTGGGCCGCGAACCCACACAGGATGGGCACCGGGTTGGACACGCACTGCGGCGGGTGGTGAGTTTGGCGGCGGGTGGATGGGTGGGTGGGTCGATGTTGATGAGGGGATGGAGGTCTGCCACCCCCTCCCCCCTCCCCCCTCCCCCTCTCTATACAATCCCCCGAGCCCGCGTGCCTTCCGGAAGTCGTCCTTGGTCAGGGAGAGGCCCATGGCGAGCATGAGGGTGCCCACCCCGGCCTCGAACTGCGCGCCGGTGATCCAGTTGAGAGAGGCTGGGCGGCGGCCCGCCACCACGCCGCTGACCAGCGCCCAGAGCGGGAACATCATGGTCAGCACGTCCGCCAGCTTCTCCAGGCGCGCGGGGCCGGTGGGCAGCGCGTCGCCGGCCGCAGCGGATGAGGCACGTGTTGCCACTGCCCTGTCGCACTGCTGCATGGGCGGCGACCGGCGGCGGAGGCCATGGAGGAGGCTGTGCCTGCATGGACAAGTAGAGTGCTAGGGGACTCTGATTCCAAGCTGCAGCCCGAAGAAGTGTACACCAGGCGTGTGCCAGCTCTGTGCCCTGGTGCCAGAGGTGAACCACCCAGATCAGCTCCCTTGCCCTGGCTCCAGGGACCCTAGGGTTGCGCGACAATCAGCTCTCGCACTTTGATGGACGGTCTAGACTCGTGCGAGCGGATTTTGTCAGGGGACATTGGTTGACACGCCTCGCCGATTTAAAGGGGACTTGCGAGGCTGCGATCGGAGTACATCGCCCCGTTGTGGCTGCAGTCGGGGACACCAGCACTCCACGACCGGCCGCATACATCTTCCTTGGATGCGATGTATCACCGCAAGCGATGGGTGTCTGGTAATTATGATACGCTCCGCGGTTTCCCTATACTAATTGTACTTTTAGCAGTATCACGAGGGATTCAGCAGTCGCTGGGCAATGGGAGCACACCCATTTTCGAAATCCGAGGAGGATGTCGTACGTGGTAAGAAACCTACAAATTCCTTCGAGGAAATTGCCCTTACAGTGGAGGACTGTGAAGGGACTCAACCTGAAATTTACCGACACCTGAGCAGCACATGAGCAATTTCACATGAGCAGTGCCAGCTTTAATCGACTGGTTGCTGAAAATAGTAAAGGACTTTGATGACACACAACCTAGCAAGGGAACAAGGGCTTGGTACTGAAGCGCTGTACCTGGGGATACTCTGCTGGCAATCTATTCCAATTCGAGCATGCCAGCAGACCGTGGGCAGTGCCTGTTAGGTGGCTAGCGAGTAATCCAGACCTCCAGTGAGAGTTGGGACTCTGAGATCAGGGTCATACCTCAGTCTCCAGTGCCTCTCATTGGGAGCCGGGGTCAGAAGTCTCCACAGCTGTATGAGTTGAGAAAGTTTCTGGCAGAATGCCAATGCATGACAAAGGAAAGATGATCAGAATCACCATTCCCTTCCCAATTGGCCTCACCTCCAGGAACTGCCCCGCACAGGACCAACTATTGATAAGACACAATGCTTGTCTATATTTCAAGTGCGAGCGTGCCAAAATGCGTTCTGTTGCGGCGGGCTCATCAGTCATGGATTCAACCATCCGTGCGCCTGGCTCCAAAACATTTCTCAGCGATGCATGACACAATTCAATGACAACGCTGCTCCTGACAAACCCAGAAACCAGCGCCATCACCACTCCTTGCATCCGTGCTAGCCTGCTTTCGCCATGCTCCCAGGCCGGAGTGTAGTACCCGGGCCGGGTTTTGTGACTACCACCTATTAATAGCCAGTGAGGGGGTAATCAATAGCTGTAGTCTTAAAGCAGAACTCAGTCATTGCAGACAAGAGTGGCGGCTGTCGCGGATAGCCCGTCTCATGCACGGTCTTTATGGGAGCGATAAGATCCATATATTAACCATTGAGATCAACCTACCTGCTTAGACGGCAGGTAGGTTGTATGACACAAACTGTATGGCCCATGCGGGTGCCACGCTGGCAGGACATTCGAATGGAGTCCCATCCATCTGGCCAGTGTCGGCGAGCGTGCAAGAGAAAAGAATGCGTAGCAGCGAGCGTGGGGGCCAGGAAGTGCGTGCATACTCGCGTTCACATATATGCTGACAGGTTGTTGTGGCATGCCATTTCCAGATCACGGTCGATGTCGTCGGGGTTTGGAATTTTCTTCACCGGCTGCACAACTCCCATTCCCAACACCGCCTTCACGCAAGCGGACTCCAGGCACTGGGTACGGAGGCCTAGGTTTCATGGCAAAAGAACAGCGCCATGCATGAGATGGAGACTGCCGCTCGTGCCTCCGTTCAGACCGTGATCTCCTTCGGGTGTCCTTCTGCGCTCCCAGGTTTTGGACGCTACCAGCCTGGTCACATCTGGCCATACCGACCTCAAAGAGGTGGCCTTCTTCTTAGTGCAGCCCAACTCGCTGCCCTCTGATGCTGCACTGTCACTCTTTGTGTCCACAGGCAAGTCCTGACAATTTGACATGCCCGTTTGTCAAGGCCTTCTGGACCGGCTACCGGGCCTGACTGGCCGTGACAGCGCATGCAGGGGTTTGGCCAACCTGCTCAAGCGTTGCTGCGTCAGTGCAACATCACTGGCTTTATCCTGCATGTCTCTCCTTACCTCGCACCAGCGCTGCTCTGCCCCACTCTCCACCCAGGCGGTCAAGACTGGTCCTACCGTGGGTGCGTGACCAACAGCCATCCCAGCGATGTTTTCCCCCTGTCCTGGCCTGAGCTGCCCCCATGCACGGTGGTGGGGCCAGGGTATGCTCAAATAGGCGTCCTGGCCGAGCCCTTGGGTGAGTCACTGCCCTGTCTAGCTGTGGGTTGGGGTCGGGGAGGGGGGGGTAGTAATGGATACACCGCGCCATGGAGAAGCAAGGCAGCGGGAGTCCCTCGCCAGCGTGAGTGCCCGCATGCTCAGCAGGCTCAAATGCGTAGGGCTGATGTTTCAGAGTCTTCCCCACTGCGCCCTCCCAAACCTGGCTGCAGACCAAGCACGGGCCAAGGAGGGCAGCAAGCTGGGCGCCAAGGAGGAGTTTGCCAAGATGGTGGGCCTGGACCTCTTCAACTTCATGCAGAGTTTTGGCGGAGTGCAGAACGTAGGGAGCAACAACCTGCTGGTGCCCATGAATGTGCTGGATGCCTGGTACCAGCGTCTCGAACGGCGGCTGAGGAAGGACCCAGACTTTCTCACACGCCAGCGCGACAAGGTGTGAGTGGACGCCTGGTGCAGGGAACCCCTGCTCGGCTCTGGACGGTGATGTAGCAATCAGTGCTCTGGCACCTTGGCACACACAGGTGTGCATTGCAGGTGCTTCTTCCCCTGCAGGTGATTCATCCCCTGCAGGTGACACTGTACAGCTTGCTCTCCTCTGTCCCCTTCAGCTCCACAACTTTGTAAGCTCAGCTCCAGAAGCTTCAGACAGCAGCAAACAAAAATGACAGAACGCAGCAGCAACAACGTACACAACCAGCTGCCTCTGGGCGCAGACCAGGTCCCTATGAGAAACTGATGTGCTCCCAGCTGCCCTCAGGCGACGCTCAGGCCAGCCTCCTTCAGCATCTCCTTGAGCTTGCCGCTGTCATTGGCAGCCATTGTGTCTGAGGGGTAGCATGGGGGAGACATGGGGATTGTCATGAGTGTCCTCACATCAATGCACCTGTCATGCAAAGCGATGCTGGCACCACTGTGACAGTGCCTGCCACAGAAATTTGAGGATCCCTGCAGGAAACTACTCCTTACGGTGTTCAGGTGCATGTTCTTGCATCAGGATATTCATCACTTCCCCTTGTGGACTCACCGTCGCAGCCGCCGATGTGCTGGCCACCCACAAACACCTGAGGCACCGTCTTCTTGCCCACCACCTCGAAGAGCGCCTGCTGAACGTCGTTGCCGTCGGCCAGGCTGTCCAGCTCAATGACCTTGGCGTCCACCTTGAGCTTCTGGAACAGGCTCTTCACCTCCGCACAGTCTGGCCATCGGTGGATAGCAGGGGGACATCGGGCAATGACGTCATGCAAGTAGACTTTGTGAGGCTGAAGGGCCTCAGCATCCACATCAACACCCCACCAGCCTCACATGGGCAGTAGGTCTTGGAGTACACGACCACGGGGTTCTTCTTGTTCTTCTCCTTCAGCGTGGCCACCAAATCCCCCGACATGGCACGGGTGGTCACGCTCAGGGCGCGGCGTGGGTTGGGCAGGGCTGCGGGGATTGCATGGTGTGATCCCGTCGTTACATGGGCATCGAGGCGTTGCAAGGCCAAACCGGCATGCATGAACCCCGAGGCGCACCCTTTGTCCGGACAGCAGCTGGCCTAGCGAGGGCAACGCGATGCAGTGACTGGGGACGCAGCACACGGGTAAAGGCCAGGGAAGCACCCGTGGTGGCGAGCGCAAAAGACGCCATGTTTGCTTGTTGATATATATTTTTGGTTGAAACTTGTGTTGTCGTCTTTCGAATGACTTGTCAGCCCTGATTCAGACATAATATGAGGATGATCGCCGTCCATGTCGCCAACGACAGAGCGCGCCCCGGCACCTGCCCCTCCCTCGAGATTGGGAGGAACGGCAGCGAGTAAAGACCACAGGCCCAGCATTCCGACTTGGACCCCCGCATCCAGTCAAAATCCATATCTACAAATGGATTGGTAACAAGGAGGCACCCAGAGGTCTTAGATCATGTCGAACCGATCCGGAGGTGGTGAGGATGCGCTGGGATCCCTGCTGTCGGGCTTCTCGGGATTGGAGGGGGACATACTGGGTCGACCCAAGGCAATGTCCGACATGAAAAAGCAGCGGCAAGGTGGGTGGCGCGCGACGGTCATGCGGGGTGTACTCGTACGACACCCCCCAAGCAACCCACCTCTTCACCCGCGTACACTCGGTGCCGCAGTCTCCCATCGAGCTACCCCGCCTCGCCCGGAGACGAAGAGCCCCGTAGAGGCAGCAGCTCCCTTTAGTGTCGATGACTTGGAGCAGCTGGTGCAACCGAGGTGACGGTTTGGAGAGTTGTGGAGGGCAGCATTCTTGCCTGGCTGCACCCTCTGGTGCACAGGGGGTTGGGCCAACAAGGAACACTACATTCCTCCACAGCCACAAGACACACCTTTCCTGTTCCAGGAACCCGCCGCGGTCCGCCTCCAACATCAGTCTCTCCAGCAGTCGGCCCAGTGTTGGATCAGGTCGGTTGGCGGAGGGCGCGATGATGAAGTTGATGGGACGGAATCGGATACCTACCCATGTAGCCCCATATGCCAGAAATGGCGACTATCTGCCGAGGTATGACCCCACCCATCACCTCTCCACCCCCTCCTCCTCACACCACGCAGCGCTCAACGACTTTGACGCGCTCTTCTCTGGTCCTCCCACCCTCACCGCTCCCCAGCCACCCGCCTCTGGCACCTCCCTCATGGATCTGGGGGTCTCGGCCTCCCCTGACCCGAGCGATCCTTTCGGCATGGACCTGGCGTGCCCCGCCCCGCCCTCGCCGTCCGGCCAGGCGGCTTGGGAGGCGGGCGCGTCGCCCTCTGACCCTGCGAGGCCCAGCCCCCGCGCCCAGGCGTCCGGGGACGATGACCTGCTGCCTGGCTTCCCCTCCAGCCAGACGCTGGCCTCCCCGGCGGCGCACCGTCAGCACATCACGGCGGAGTCACGCGGCCTGGACGCCCGCGAGGATGCCCAGCCGCGTCGGCCGGCGCCCAGGGAGACCAGCCCCTGCCCCCACCCCGGCCACGGCATTCCCTGGACCGGGGACGGAGCCTCGGAGGCCCGGTCCCCCTCCCCGCCCGGATACCTAGACGTGGTCGGCGGGGCGGGCCGCACCGCGAGCGAGGAGGGGTGGTCGCCCCCCCGCCGACCCGCGCCCCGCCCCCCCGGCGGGTCGGTCCTGGGTGGGCAGCCCGCCTCCCCCCCTCAGGCGCCCCACGCCCTGGCGGCGGAGGTGAAGCAGCGCGCGCAGCGCGCCTTCCAGGGCTCGGCGGCCTGGTTCATGCGCGCCGGCAAGAAGCTGCAGGAGTCGGTGCGGGAGCTGCAGGCCCCGCGCCCGTCGAGCCGCCCCGGGTCCGGGGCAGGCGGGCGCGGGGGCGGGGACGCCGCCGCCCTCCCCGCCTTTTACTACGACTGGGCGGCCCAGATCGCGCGCCAGTCGCCGCGCTCCCAGTCCGCCACGCTGGGCGCGCTGGGGCTGGAGGACCGCGCCGTGGTCCAGCGCATCATGGACGAGGCGGCGGCGGGGGAGCGCTGGGCCGAGCGCCGGCTGCGGGAGGAGGGGGGGCTGCAGCGCGACGACGGCGAGGAGGACGACGACGACGTGTGGGAGCGCGCGCTGCCGGGCGCGCGCGCGGCGCGCAGCGACGACGAGGACGAGGAGGCGGGGGACGGCGCGGGGTGGAGCTATGCGCACGCCGGGCCCCCCACGGCCCGGCCTCCCAGCCTGCAGCACTCCCCGCGCGGAGCCTTGGGCGCGGAGGGCCCCCGGCCGAGGGCCGCCCCCCGCGCGGCGTCGTACTCGCACCCCGCCGTTGCTTCTTCTTCTGGGGGCGCGGGGCCCGGGGACGAGCCGCGGCGCCCCTCCTCGGAGCAGGCGGCCCGGCCGGCGCCGCCGCTGTACGAAGACCTGCTGGGCGTGGAGGGAGTGGCGGGCGGCGTGCAGGCCGCAAAACATGCTGCAGAGGACGGCGCGGCGTGGGGTCCTGCATCGTGCGACGGCGTGGGCGGGGCGGCATCGGGCCCCGCAGCAGCCGACCCCCAGCTGGACGACCTGATGGGTCTGGGGACCGACGCCGCGGCCCCCACCTCGCCGGCAGGTGGCGCGTCGGCAGGCCTGCAGCACATCGATGCCATGTTCACTGTCGGTCCGCTGCCGCCGCGCGCCGTCGCGCGTGCCGCGCCGTCCGCGGCCGCCGCGGGCGCCGCACAGCGCCCGCGCTCTGCGCCTTCGGGCGCCGGGCCGGCGGGCTGGGCCGGGTTGGGCGATGCGCTGCCGGCTGTCGACACCTCGGCCTACAGCGACCTGTACCGCGATGTATGTTGCTTTGGGTCTTGGGAGGTGGACAGAGTGGTAGAGACAGACTTGAGCACCCATTTGAGTGACACCCAAGCTCCTGCTCGCCTGCTTGAGCCACCTCCAGCTGCCCACCGGAAC